TCAAACTTCAAAAAGTGTTCTATGGATAATCTTTTTACACAATGGTCTACTTCCTATGACCTCTCGGCAGAGTTGTTGAACCTTCACCAGTTTGAGATGGTTGTATACTAAAAATACAACCCCCTTTGTACGATGGACTTCCTCTGAAGGTCGGTGAAGGAGACCAAATGTGTATTCTATAACAAGTACCACAGTAGAATTACTAGAGTGCTAAGCAGTACGATAAGGTTCCAGAGAATAATTAAGAAGGTGATTTTACTTATTACTCATCTGATCTAACTATCACTTTCTTGCAATCCATTTAGAAAACAAATCTATTATAACCAAACAGAATTGAAAGGATAAATAGGTTTAGGGAAAGCACCTTTTTTAGGTCTTAAATTTCCTTGAAGATTATGTTTAGCACATATTAGACATGCTTTACAAAAGTTTTTTGCATAGAATATAAATCCATATGCTATATAATGATGCTCAATGCTCAATCAATCCTACAATCCTCCCGGTTGAGACATGAGTAAAATCATGACTCAGTATAGCAGCTCATTAAAAGAAATTTTTTATTTGGAAGGATTGGTTTATGTTCTGGTCACATATAGGTGCCATCATGGATTTTAAGATAGTTTGGCTGATTAACATGTTTGTTTCGTTGAATGTCATCCCCACTTCACATGTATTTAATAAGAAATGTTATGTTTAATGCGATGTTACGATGAAATTAGGACAGCAACTAACAATTATTTTGTAAATCGATCAGTCTATCGTTAATTCTTTCGATTAATTGGTTAGCCAAAAGTTCTGTAAAGAAGATTACTAATGACATTAAACCAGGTGAAACCAAAACATCTCCTCCTGAAGAGCTCCGGACGGAAAGTATTGACAGACAAAAACATTTTATAGTCGTATTTGCAAAATGTTTATTAATTTATTTTACAGTTTTGGTATGATTACTGATCCAAGTGGATTACTCTGTCGGGGAAAGCCAGATTTTACATGTATATTATGTTTTAGAGTCTCTATACTCCATTTAATGATGAATCACTAAATTTGTTTACGAATATGCAAATAATCATTTAATATGATTCATGTTTTCAGCCACAGATAAAATACATGAGATGGGCAACACAGAGTAACTACAGCCCAGATGTTCAACTTTCATAGTGAAGTTATTATTTTAATGAATGTATTATTTTGCTTGATACAGACAGAGCATAGTAGGTAAAAATATAAGAGTGGGGTTTAACTCTGCACAAGTCTATATATTCAGAAGAAAGTACTGTATTTACCGTCTGTCTCAGTTGTTCAAATAAAACCATTTTACAAAGTGGAAAACAGTCCTAATTCCACATTCATCAGAGCCGGTGATACTTCAACATTGATAAACAGCATCTAGTTAGTGTAGTGCTTAAAAATGTTTATTAATGTAGCAAAATGCTCCTTTTCTCTTTAAACAATGAATTCCTCTCATCAGTACTGATGCTTATGTCAAGCATAAAAAAAAAGGCATGCATAATGCATAGTACCAATGACACCAGACCAATAGTGTCCCTACCAAAGTTCAAATCAAACCTACGCTCTCGGGTGCCATCCTTCATTGCAGCGCCCCTTTTTTTTTTTTTTTTTTGGTTTATTTATTTATTTTATCCAAGTAAGTTTTTCATAGTCTTTATCAGGACCTGGAGAGTCTTTGTACCACATGGTAATGTGTAGGTCATTCGGGTCCATGGACTGCTGTACAGTCAGGGATGGGATGCCCAGCCTCTGTCTAAGCAAAGCATAGAGCATCCCTGCCTAAGAGGTTAACTGGACATTCAGGTAAAGTCAGTACAGACAGCCGGCAGGAGAGTCCTTCAGGGTCTCTCAACCACACAAGCTGGATCTCCTGCACAGCCTTTAAATGACCTTGAGCTGATCAGACTATGACAGTCTCAGGTCCTTGGCCAGCACCTGGAATTTGTTGTTTAACAGTTGTTCTGCATGCACCACTGTCACACAGGAAAACTGTTGGGGTGCTATTCACATGTATAGTTAATACAACTAATCATTATTTGTGCATATTAATTATGTTTTTGATAAAAATGCTTTGGCTAAAATGCCTTCAGAAGGCTGATAAAATAGAGAGGAAAAAAGGGACAAGAACAGAGGGACAAAACCTAGAACAAATAATGAATGTCTATTCTATTAACATTTCTCTATCTGTAGAATGGGACTGTTTTATAGGTTTTCTTGTCAGGGGGCCCCCTGCCCGTCCATGCCCAGGGCCCCAAATTTCCCAAATCCGCCCCTGCCTATAGACCATCATGACAGGAAAAAATTGATTTTCAGCTGGCCCCTGACCCGCCAAAGGATTTGGCAGCTCAATTAAAGGAAACACCTCAGTTTCAGGTTTGGGTTCAGGGGCTGGCTGTGGGGAGATTAAGCTCCCCCCCCCCCCCCATATCTTTTGACCAAGCCCCCACAGGTCCCCCAGAACAGGTAACCCTTGTGGAGGTGCTGGGCATAGGAGAATAAGCCGGTGGATTCTCAACTTTAGGAGTTGGCAAGACTGGGGCTGAAGCAGAAGCAGCAGCAGCACCAAGTTCATTTGGGTCTTGCTGTAAAGCTGCTTGTGCAGCTGCTTGTGCTTGCTGTCTTTACGATGGGTATGTGCAAGGGTATGGGTTCTTTTATTGTGGTTCTGCAGGCTCCTGTATCACACAAAATTTAACAGGAGTGCCCTGGACCATCAGAACTATTTCTGGTCTATATTTTTCTTTTAAAAAACAAATCTTCTAGGTTTAAGACATCCATATTTTCATCCTCTATCTCTCTAATAGAAAATGGCTGCTCATCTAGTCATGCTGAGCTTCCTATTTTTGTGGTTTACTTCGACAGTGTCTAGCTATGTGGCCTTTTTTTCCACATGACCAACGCGCTATGGAATCATCAGTTGAGTGTGATCCAAAGCCTCTTCCCCTTACACGGCCTCGACCTCTGCCTTGGCCTCTACCTCTGGACTGCTGATAAAACACAGTGTCCTCTTCCTCCTGATAAAACACAGTGGATTCTTTATTGTGATTCTTTTTACTTTTTATGACTTTCTCTGCATGCAGGGCGTGATTTATATACTTTTGGAGTGTTGCACCACTCATCTCTATGTGGTGACGATTTACCCATTCTTGAATTATACATTCTTCCACATCCTTCTTTGGAGAGGGAATTCCTTCTACTGCTTTTCTTTGTCTCTCCTCTCTCTCTCTCTTAACTCTACGCTTTCCCTCTTCTCTCTGTCCTGCTAATTTCATCCAGACCATGGTTTGCATGTAACCTTCTTTTGCCATCAAAGTGTCTTTATTTTTGCTTTTTGTTTTTATTTTTTGTTGCAATTCTTTAATGTTTGTGGTGCTCAATTTGCCATTAAAACCGTAGTTTTTTATCCAGTAACACAACGGCTCTACTGCCGATGGGTCATCATTTTCGACTGCTTTCCAATCTTTACACTGGAGTTTCTCTAATAACTTCTGTTTTTCTTTACTTTGCCCTTTTCCCATTTTGAACTAAATTTGGGCCCAGTGGGTTTTCAACACCTGTCGTGTTCTAAACACTGGGGCTTCAGACAAGATGGTGATCAACTACTTTTTGTGGTAAAACTCACTTCAACCTTTACAGGTGGAGTTTTCTTGTCTACAAACATCCACAAAAGCTCACCATTTAACCCTTGTCTTTTTGGTATGAAATACAGATATCTAGTGATATCTATTTTACCTTTCACACACACACACACACTGCGCAGTTAACTTTTACTTTATTTTAAACACAGAGGACGCCGCCATCCTATGCAGAATTTAACTAGTTTACAACTAAGGGAGCCTGCCCTTACAAACTAGGGGAGCCTGCCCTCCCACGGACTTTAACTGTTTTAAAATTTCTATTTTACCTGATAGAGTCTAGAATTGTCAGGGTTTTAGTACAACAAGGGGATTCCGTTACCCCACGCGGAGAGGACTTCGCTGTCCTTCACTTCTATCTCTTTTTTTTTTTTTTTATATATATTTTTATATTTTTATAAAAAAATTTTTTATATTTTTATATATTTTTCTTCTAATAATTCACTCACTCCTTATTAAAAGAAAAACTACTCACAATTCTCTGCGTCCTCGAAATGCTTTAATCGTCGGACCCCAGCTTGTAAGGGAGAGACCAGTCCCGTAAAGGGTCTGTTTGCTGCGGCCGCAGGCTTATCTGGATCTCACTCACCTGCTGGGGGTCGTCGGGTATCTTGCAATCCGGCTCGAAGGACCAATTAATGTTAGGTTTAAACACCAAACACCTTATTCAGTAACCTGTACAAAGAAAGACACAGAGAATTTAGTATGATTTACTTGCAAGGAGAGTGATCAGAGACTGTTCAGTTACAATTCTCCAAACCACTCTGAAACAGCTCTGCCCTCCAAGCATTTTATTAAGGAACGCCCTGGCTACAATGTTGGTTCCGACTGCTAAAAGGGAGGAGGGGGTGAAACCAGTCGGAACCAGAAGTTCTGCATAACATCATACAGTATCATAAGATAAGGAGAGCTTTCACTCCTTTCTCTCCGTTCTCCTTGACCTCGACTGGTCTTCCTGCACACACTAATAACAAGCACTAGAAACACAGCAAGTAAAACATTTCAACACTCTGTGTAATACAAGTATACAGGAATATGCAAATGTGTAAATATGAATGTATAAGTATAATATGATTAAAGTAGAATAACTTGTACAATTAATCCAACAAAGGTCAAAGATGATGAAGTTTTAGCTGAAATTTGCTGAAATGTAAGAATTCTACATGCATTTCAATGGGACAAAAAAAAACTACAAAAAATATCTTTACCAAAAGATATAGCAGGATTCTCCTGAACAAGCTGAACGTTTTGATACCAAAATTGTTGAAATCGGTTGAAAACTGCGGGACTAGTTAGAGTCAGAAAAATAAAAAGTGAACAACAATAAATTGATTTGATGTAATTTTTCCCTTTCAGACCAGGTTCATGAGTTGAAGAATAAATTCAGCTCCAGCCAGCTGAGCCTGGAAGGACGGAGTGCCTCTGCTGGTCAGACAACTTCATGATTGTTCGTATTATCAGATTATTTCATCCTTTTCATCCTTGCTGTCCTCAAACTACTCGACTGCTTATTTGCTGCAGAGAATCGCCTAACTGATGCTGAGAGACAACAAGACGAGCTGAGGAAAACCAACGCTGGTAATCTGTGGATTAGAAATCTTTCATAATTGCACAAATAATACAAAATAAACTGTTTAGATTGTTTCCTGCCCCTTTGCTCCCAGGCTAACCTTCTGGTTGATATTCTTTTCTAATTTTATCATGTAGGGATAAAAACTTTTGTTAAAAGTGGCTTTTAGAGGTCTAATCAGCCCCATTTACTCTAACAGTCCTAAATACAATCTAGATAAACTTACTGCAAAGGTCATCTAATTAGTATAGATCTGTGCACAAGTATAACAGACCAAACCTCCCAAGACAGGGAAGTCTTCCTCACTGATGAGGAGAGGCGACCAAAAGGCCCGTGGTGAGTCTGGGGGAGCGTCAGAGATTCACTGCTCAAGTGGAGAATGTGTTGGAAGAACAGAAAAAGAAAAGCTGTAAAAAGACTGACCTGTTTGTAGTTTTCCACAAGTCATTATGAAAATACAGCCAACATGTATAAGAAGGGGATCCAGTCTGAGTAGAACTAAAATAACATAACATTTACACGTGGAATAAACTGAACTGTTTTTTTGTTTTTATCAATTAGACTTGTTAAAAAATAATAATTTTAGAGGCTGTCATTACAGGACATTTGTTATTGTTTAGAAACTGGATTAAAATCCTCTGACTTCATAGGGATGTGAGGAGGCAGAGTAGGAAGGAGATTTTAAGAAGTCATCTGTTTAAAAAGAATCTTTATTTACTCTAAAGAAACAGGAAATGGTTTCTTGAGCAGCTTCTTTTTAATTAAAGTTTTTATTCTCTTAGAGTTGGAGAGCAGACTGAGATCAAGTGAAAAACAGCTGGAAGATTTGAGGACAGCAAACACAGGTATTTTTACTAGCTTATAGAAAATTACACGCCTTCTAATAACATTTGTTTTGTGGATATAAAAGTCAGACTGATATTCAATGAGAAAAACTGGGAACAGTTAAAGTTTCACACTCGTTGCTACAGAACTGAGGTCCGTTTTATGAAGCAGCTTCACTGAAAACTCCACATTTTCTAAGTTTTCGGTTTCCTCACCCTCTGTATCTGTTGCCATAGTAACATCCTCCCAGAGCTAACCTGGTCAGCAGCAGGTTTCCATCAGTAAACTCAAGAGTTTTCTCTGTCTTCGCTCTCCTCACAGCCAATCACGCTGCTCTATTTCCTGATTTAGTCTGATTTTTGTCCCAGTTTTGTGCATAAAATAAAATATAATTCACTGGGTCCATCAGACATATTAGCTTTTATAAACAGACATTTCATGTCCGTTTGATGAGGATCTCTTACTCTGCACTAAAAAAAATTCTACTGGTGAAAATCGAGCGAACTTGGGCTCAAACACTATCAAGAGGATTTTAATTCTTCCCTGTTGAAGGTTATTCCCATCAATTTAGTCGGACTTGAACGACTCCGGACAGCAGAGATTTAGTCCTTTTACACTCTCTGATTTCTGACTCCTAAAATAGGGCGGGGACATGGTTACGCCAAGCAGCTTTCAATGGCGGTCAGATATTAATGTCTATGCCTACAAACCCGAGCTCCACACTAAAGGAGAAAGACAAGAACCAGACCCTGGAATCATCCTGAACTCATTGATTCTTAACTCTGTCCTAACACCCCAAATCCAACCAGTTTGATCAGAGCAGGATGATCCAGCAATGGTTCCCAGAACTCCTCAAGGAACCATTGTTGGATCTCTGCCTGATCTTTCAAATCACATTTTGATGACAAAAACGACCAATTTATCAACTCAAGATTAAAACAGAATGATTGAACATCAGTTCCTTGATGAACTCCTTCCTAAAAGTTGCTTTTCTGTTTAGAGGTGGAGAGCAGACTGAGATCCAGTGAAAAACAGCTGGAAGACCTGAAGACAACAAACACAGGTACCACAGGAAGCCTTCTCACTCTGGCCACAATAAACATTAGCTAACATATGAAACACATCTGTAAAAGCTGATGTGTTCTGTAGATATGCTGGTCAGGTTTGGATACACTGAGGGAAAGCTGGAGCAGCTGAAGAATCTCTCTGAAGGTACCATCATCAGTGTGTTTTGTTCTTTTCATCCTGGATAAAATCACTAAATGAAACAATGATTTCCTGCTTAGTCCTGGAGGTCAGACTGATAGTCAGTGAGAGACGGCTGGAAGACCTGAAGACAAACAACTCAGGTAATCCATCAAACTGTTGGACTGACTGAATATGTGTTCCAGTTTTATTCAGTTTACAGAGAATCACAAACAGTCTGATTGTCTTTGAGAACCAAGAAAACAAGATGTTCTGCCTCAGATCTACAGTATGAAGATTTTCCAAATAAAAGTTTAGAAAATCTTCCTTACTCAGATATCTGGTGAAGAATCAAGGTGAGGAGTCTGGATGAAGTTAGAACCTGACTCCAGTCATCTCATCAAGTCAGTCCATTCTTAACATGATGACTTGATGAGATGACTGGAGTCTGGTGTGCTATTGCTTGGTTGGAGAGAAAACCTGCAGCCACACGGCCCTTTCTGGAACCGGTTTGAGACGCCTGATTTAGAATCAGTCATGTGTGTCCTGCTGCTGGAGGACCTGGATGACTGATGGAAGGATATCTGCAAAAACCCTGACTGAGAATCAGGCTGTGGCCTTCAGGGTGGGATTGGTATCTTTTCAGAAAGTCCACAGAATGTGATGGATGTGAAAGTAGAATGAGAGGCAGATCTTTTAGGCTACGTTCACACTGCAGCCTGAAGTGACCCAAATCGGATTTCTTGCCCATATGCGACCTGGATCTGATCTTTTCATGGCTGTCTGAACAACACAGATCCGATTTTTTTCCAATCCGACCCAGGCCACTTGGCTATGTGGAATCTGATACAAATCTGAACTTTTCAAATCCAACCTGTGTCTGAACGGCCAGGTCGGATTTATCCGACCTTAACGCCATTAATACCTGACAAAGGTCACTATTCTGCGTCTTGCTACGCAGAAGCGGCAAGAAAAACAACAACCATCGCAGATGGTGATGTGGAGAGCAGTATTTATGTTTAAACATATTTAAAAAAGATTGAGTTTTTATGGTTGGAAAAGATCGCTAAATGCGTGGCGGTACTAATATCCATGTTTACTTCCATAAACACACCTGTGACGTCATTGCATCCTCTACTGCGCATGCGGGACTGCAATTCACACAGGAGATCACATACAAGTCGCATATATTTGGAAATATGAACGGCAATGCAAAAAAAAATCAGATTTCACAAAAAAATCAGAATTCAGCATCAAGTCCTGCAGTGTGAACGTAGCCTTAGTTATGCTGCTATAGGCTTAGACTGCTGGAGGACATAGGGACCCCTTTTTCATCATTCTGCTTCATTCTATCTCTATTCTCACCTCTGCAGAATCTGTTAGTTCAATCTCTAACGTTCTGCTCTCTCTGCTTTTTCTCATAGCAGCTTCATCTGGTCTGTTCCTGTTTGGCTGTGACTCCATCCTGGAGAGAAATATCAGCTGTGCTGCTGCCATCAACACCTTTGTTTCTAGATGTTGGAGCTTGGCCTGTTTTTCAGTGTAGCCCTGTTTCTCTGACTGTGACTAACTGGATGTGCTCTCTTCATCCTCTGACATGGAAGCTGGCTCGGCTCTTGTCTGCCTGACTGTGTTTCCTGGACGGGGCCGCCTGTGAAGCTGGTTGACATTTGCCTTTTGCATCTATGCTTCTTTTTCTATGTCTGCTTCTGTCTCCTTGAACCCCAGTTGGCCTCAGCAGATGGCCGCTCACACTGAGCCTGGTTCTGCTGGAGGTTTCTTCCTGTTGAAAGGGAGTTTTTCCTCTCCACTGTCGGTACAAGCATGCTTAATGTGAGGGATTGCTGAGGAGTCAATGAGTCTTCAACTGTTTCTCCAGAGTTTGACACCAAGCTTTCAGATGTGGCCCTCAGCCTGCAGGCGGCAGAGCAGCAGCTGGTTGATCTGAAGCAACACAGCTCAGGTGACTGTCAAGCTGATGCTTATCTTTTTAAACCATAAATCAACTCTGGTCCAATTAGAAAAGACAGAAGATTATGTGGCGGGAGAGGTGTGATAAGATTTGGGTAATTTCAATTTAGAAACACCAGGTAAGAAAAGATTTAATAGATTTTAATGACTCCGCTTAAAATGTTACCATTAAGGCACACAGACCCGCTACAGATGAGGCTTGAGACAATCTCACCAGTCAACTCTTTTATTATACAACTTTTAGTTTAATTCAAAAAGACTAAATTAAAACCTCACATTTAAAAATTAGTTCAAGCGTAACTCTGTGAGGAGTGAAATTCAGGGTAGGGTACAAAAAAGAAAAAAAGATAAACACAGCAAACAGAACTAGGCAAAGCAAAAGAAAATCATGCACCAAACCAGAAGAGGAACCACCACCCAGAAGTCCACCACCAACACCACGAGCTGACCGTTCCTGTAAAAAAAAAAACAACATTCAGAGTACAATTCCCATAATACAGTTCAGTCCACAATTTAGCAGCAGTATAGTCCAGAATTAAGGCCCATCCTGGGAGGAACCGATCCGCTGTGGCGGACGTCACTCACACAGCACCAAAAGAGTAAGTCCGAGCTGATCGCCAATCAGCCACGCTGGACGAGTGTTAGAAGTCACAGCTTTATGCCGGCCGGGGCGGCAGGTAGGCAGCTGACGGATAACCCAGCTGACAGGCGAACAACGCAGGCGAACAGTCGGCTCAGGACAAACAGCAGCGGCTATCAGAAATAAATATTAGAAACAGAATCTAAAAGCATGCAAAAACTAGCGCTGTGCTTACCACTGAGCTCTTTAAGTAGTGCCTCTTACAGGGAGGAAAGCGTGGGAAGCTTGTACTGGCAGTCCGAAGGACGATTGGTCCACAATCAGTATGCCGTTAAGCGCATTGTTTAAGTGCATGCATTCATTTGCAGCTGTTATACAGAAAATGAAAATAAATCAAAAGTAATAAACTTGCTCGAGAGAGAAGAAGCCTGCCTTACCTGGCGTGCAGCACCAACAAACGCAAAGGTCTGAACCGGAAGGAGAACAATGCAATGTCAACCCGGTGAGGGAGGGCCCCTTATATACACAGGCAACCAGCGAGCGCCACAACCAATTAGAATTAGGCACCCGTGTGGTGCGTTCAAAGCCCACCAGGGCATACTGCCACATTCCACCCCCCCAAACTGCATCGACGCCCCGGCGATGATCCAACTTAACACCAAGGTCGAAATACAGCAGACATGGTACTAGATGAAGGCATCTTTCTTACTACGGGTCTTGGAAGATGATGGAGATTATGATGCTGGCCAGCAGTTGATCGTGCTGATCTGCGCACAGTCACCTCGCTGGGACCAGACTCTGCCACCGGTACCACTGCTAATGAGGTAGGTTGGTTCAAGGTCATACCAGGAGGAGCCACGGCAGGTCCTGAAGCCCCAGGGACAGCGCTAGAAACCACAGCAGGTCCAGCATCAGAAACCACAGCGGCAGGTGAGGCAGGTGGTACCTGCTCCTGAGGCCAAGGCCTCAAGAACAAATCACCCTCCAGAGACAGCTCGTCCTCTGAAATGGAGTGATGCTCAGAAGATGCACCTTCAACAGGAACTGAATTGGGTGCATTAGCACCAATCAGGACCTTCAGCAAAGAGCGGTGTACCCTCCTTACCCTGGTCTGGTCATGAACTGGTGCCACTGAATACACTACACCACCCTCCCTTGGGACTTGGACAACTACATGCGTCACTGAACTCCACAAATCCTGAAATTTCTGACGACCTTTGCTCCCCAAGTTTCGGATCAACACAAACTGGCCCTCCTTAAGAGGAGCTTCTTTGATGTTTCTATCATGATTAGCCTTTCAGTGTCCAGCAGAAGTCTTCAACTTTTCTCTAGCACCCTCAAATGCTATTTGCAAGCGAGTCTGATGTTCTTTGACCCACTCATGAACAGTTCCCTGAACTGGGTTTTCGACCCTTCCCAACAAAAAGTCAACTGGAAGACGTGGTTCTTGACCAAATATTAAGAAAAATGGTGACTCACCGGTTGATTGATGAGGGGTGGTATTATATGCATAAAGCAACTGGGGTAAACAAACGCTCCAGTCTCGTTTCCGGGACGTGGGCAAGGTTCTCAACAGGTTGTGAAGCGTCCTATTAAAACGTTCACATTGGCCATTACCAGCTGGATGGTAAGGTGTGGTACGAGATTTAACAATCCCATACAGACCACACAGCTGCTGGATCAGAGTGCTTTCAAAGTTGCGGCCCTGGTCTGAATGGATGCGTGCTGGTACTCCAAATTTTGCAAACCATTCAGTGACCAGGACCTGCGCTACAGTGGAGGCGCGCTGATCCCTAGTTGGGACAGCCAACGTATATTTGGAAAACACATCAGTCATCACCAATACATTTTCTATACCAGATGGAGTTGGCTCTAACAAAGTAAAATCGATTGCCAAAATTTCATTTGGTTTTGATGCAAGCAAATGGCCCATAAAGCCACGAGCAGGTGGCTGGTTATCCTTAGCAACCTGACACCGCTTGCAGGTTTTACACCAATCTGCAACCTCCTGTGACATACCTGGCCAATAACAGCGAGACCGTAGCAAAGCCAAGGTTCTTTCCACTCCCTGATGCCCATGTTCCTGATGGACCTGGGTCATGATATCCTTGGTGAGGGACTTTGGCAGGAGAAGTTGGTGCACTTCCCCACCACCATCTGGACGGAACACTCGCCGATACATTAGCCCATCCAACTCAGTCAGGCGATCCCACTGATTTAACAATGCAAGAGCAGATTGTGAAAGCCCTTGCCGCTCAGTCCGATTTGGCCGCTCTTTTCTCTGCCAAAAGACAAGAACTTCCTGAAGGACCGGGTCAGCCTGCTGGAGGACATAGAGATCACCAGGGGCAAGAGCAGGAAAGACAGTTACCGAGGACTGGATGGTTTGCGTTTGCTCACTCTGCACAGCTAGCTGTAATGGCTGAGGCACAAGAGTACCTGAAACCAAAGAAGTCACTTCCGATGGGGCCGGCCACGGCCTACGAGACAGAGCATCAGCATTTTGATTGGATTTAGCAGGTCGATACTTTAACTCAAAGTTAAAGGAAGCAAGCTGGGCTGCCCAGCGCTGCTCCACTGCTCCAAGCTTAGCCGAATCCAAGTGGCTCAGAGGATTATTGTCTGTATAAACAATACATCTGTGGCCCAACAGATAATCTCTAATTTTTTCTGTCATTGCCCCTTTCAGGCCCAACAGCTCCAGTTTCATCGACCTGTAATTCGACATATTCTGCTCACTAGGTCTTAACCCGCGGCTAGCAAAAGCGATGGGTCTTATCTTCCCCCCTTGTTCTTGTAACAAGACCGCTCCCAAACCACTATGGCTTGCATCCACCTCTAGGATGAAAGGGAGGGAAAAATCTGCGTAAGCAAGGACTGGAGCAGAGGTGAGCTTGGTTTTAATGGCCTCAAAACTCTGTTGACACTCCTCAGTCCAGGCTCCAACAATACTCCGGGCAGCCTTCTTTTTAGATTCTTTACTAGTTAGCTCCGCTGCTCTACGATGCAAGGGGGCAGCCATCTTAGCAAACCCTTCCACAAACCTACGGTAGTAGCTAGCAAATCCCAAAAAGGAACGCAACTCAGTGGCCGTGGTGGGCACAGGCCAATTTGCTACCACCTCAATTTTAGCGGGGTCAGTGGCTACTCCCTGGTCAGAAATCACATGACCCAGGTAGTGCACCTTCTGCTGGAAAAAACGGCACTTACTAAGCTTAGCTTTAAGGCCCTCCTTCTGAAGCCGTCCTAACACCACGTCCAACCTCTCAAGATGTTGCTGCACAGAAGATGAAACGACAACAATGTCATCTAAATATAGCAAAAGGGATTGGCATTGCTGGTCACCAAAAATGCGCTGCATCAAGCGCTGGAAAGTGCTCGGAGCATTGCATAGGCCGAAAGGCATGCGGTTCCACTCAAAAAGCCCAAAAGGCGTACAAAAAGCGGTTTTATGGCGATCACTTGCTGTGACAGGAACCTGATTATACCCGCTGGCCAAATCCATAGTGGAAAACCACCGGGCCCCTGTCAAAGCATCAAGGGACTCTTCAATGCGAGGGAGTGGAAAAGCGTCCTTTCGTGTCTTGATGTTAAGTTGACGATAATCAACACAAAGCCTAATGCTACCATCCTTTTTGCGAACAATCACAATTGGTGATGCATAGGGGCTGGAACTTTCCCTAATGACATTTGCTGCCAACAGCTGATTTATGTGCTCCTTCACAAGTTCATACTCTGATGGAGGAATCCGACGGTAACGCTGCCGAACGGGAGCGTCATCAAGAAGGGGAATGTCATGGCTGATCAGGTTGGTGCAACCCAAATCCTGATCATTAGTGGCAAACACCGAAGTGTATTTACCCAACAGGGCTCGCACCTGACACTGTTCCTCCTCTGGCAAAGATGATAAATCAATTGTCTTGATCCCATCTAAGACAGGAGCAGCAACTGTTTGGGAAGACACATTTACAGAAAATGGGACTTCAGTTACACCCGCGGGGAGACTCACCACGCCAACACTATTTAACGATCCCACAGTGGTACGAGGGTAAAGCAGCACATCAGTGTCGCCCACATTCACCACTGGGATATAAGCAGTTCCCCGAACAACCTGAACTAAAGCAGGAGATGCTAACAAACCAACTGGTAAGCCAGACTCTGATGGTTCGAACAAGACGGTGGTACCTGAGTATTGCTCACAGCAGGTAGTCGGCACAATCTTCATTACACCTCCTGGAATGCGGCAGGCCCTCCTGCCCTGCACCCTAACCTTACTAGGCTCCTTAGGAGTGTGCTGTCCTTCAGCTGCATGACATTTCTGCAAGGCCTTAACCAATGGTATGGGAAATGATGCAGCAGGGGTAGTATTAAACAGAGCATTGCCATGCTGTCCAAATAGTTCTTGGTAACAC